AAAGTGTTCATCATGCATTCCAACACATTCATAAAGGTTACATAGAAGAAGATAAGGAACATAAAAATTAATTTGGAGACCCAAAGATTCAATTGAAGATTTAAAACGGTGATGACGAGTTTCTTCAATATTCTTGTTATTTTCTTCTTTTCAACATGCTAGACTAGATTTATTTGTGCTAGAAGAATGACGAACTGTGTATTATGAATTTTTAATATTTAATTTTATATATTTGACATCAAAAACACATTTTGGATATTGAACGGTTTATATGAATTTCTTTTCTCACGATTATCGTACATGATAATTGTGTGAATATGATAGCTTATTTTATGTATTCGAAGAGAAATTGACTCGACATGGTATAAATCATCATAAAATCCAATAAGGGATAGAGATATATCTCTATGCCTAGTGAGAATCTTTAAGTATTCATAAAAATTCATACATATGTTTGCATCCATCATAAAAATATAATCTAGTCATATATATAAGAATAGATTTAACATTACTCGAGAGAAATTGTTGAATATAATAGGAATAATGATTCTTCAATATACAATTGTATTGTCAAAGTGTAAAACTAATGTTAAAAATGATTATTACATTGGAATTCTTGATCCAAGTTTGTGTGTCATTCATCAGATACATCAATTTGCATTTAATTTAGTTAATTCACTCATAATTAGATTCATAGCTTAATTTGGTTATAAGTTCATCACAATAAATACAACTTATTACCCTTGTTTTGGTTAAGGTCGAGGTAATAAAAATTAAATTAAATCAATCTCTATGGGACGATACTTGGACTCAAAATTCACTTTATTACTTGTTAACGAACCTTACACGTACGATGATTTAATTTGAAAAATATTTTCGTGAACACACTCACTTTTCAACTGCAGATTCTAAAAAATTTATTCATTTTCATGTTTTTCCATCCCTTTGTTACACATTAATGTAAAAATGAGAATGAAAAATATAGTCATTATGGACCCCACATAAGAGATAGAAAGTCAAATATGGTGGTTTGATGTGATGGATAACGATCATATTTTTAATTTTAATAGATAAATAATGGAAAACAAACTGGGGCTTAATTTTAACTATACATTTTCTCAAAAAAATAAAAAAATAAAATTGTACAAACACTACATTTGTATTTATTTGAAAATATGTCATAATAGTAAAAGTAGTTGGTATTTAAAAAAATCTCTCCAATAAGTAAGTTGATAAGAACTCCATCAAATTGACGATCATACAAAAAGAAACAATGTCTTGATGGTGGTCAAATGTAAAGGCTCTGTTAAATTTAATTGAGGGGAATTTTCAAAAATGTCACAAAATTAACATGGTCCCAAAAAGTTGTCATTTTCACTTTATGTGAGCAAAAATGTCACTTTTTGTGTGAAATGTCTAAAATTACCTTTAATGACACATTTTTGCATTTAACGCTTGATTTGAAAGAGTTGATTATGTTAATGTGATGATTTATTTTATATATAAAAAATATGGATAAATGTGTATTACATTGATTAATATGAATTTGTGTTAATAAAAAAGGGTAAAAGAAATTAAAAAATGGAACATAATCAAATATATCTTCTTCTCCCCTTACAAACCCTAATTTTTCTCATCTTCTTCATTTTCATTGATCAAAATTTTTTTTTTCTTGCATTCATAATTCATTTTAAAACGTTGGCTATTAGAAGTTATTTATATTTTACTTCTACAGCTTACTATTTTGTAAATGTTAAATACAACCTGAACATATTTATTTGGAATTTTTGAAACTATTATTCATTGATTTCTTTATTTTTGAATCATTCACAAATGTGATTATCATCGTTAAGGTTTTGAGTACTTTTTTCCATTCAAACCAAATAATGTTTTCATTAAATGTCTCTTCAATAACAAGGTCAATCTGACCTTTTTCATTTAGCTCAATACTAATGACCACACTTAATGTGTTGTGCTTAAGATTTTTTTCCGCCCACTGTCGTCTGCTTCTTGACTGTCGAATTTGACATTTACAAACCGTCGGATTAGACGTTTGAAATGTCGAACCCGACATTTACAAATTGTCGGGATATACAGTTTTACTATCAAATTGAATACTTTAAAAAACAATGGAAGGCCTTTATTTGACGTTTTGCTATTGTACAAATTTACGTATCATGCAATGCCACTTTCATGCTATTAAATGCTGACATATTGATTCTACAAAATTCTTGTCATTGCAATCCCAACATTTCAGGTATGAGTAATCATTTGAGATTTATTGTGTCGCATGGGGAAAAATTGTTCATGCGGATGACGAATAGAAGTGGAGAGTGGACAAAACCACTTCTATTATGGTTCTGACAAGTAATATCGTAGCCCGACTTTTGTTAATGTTGAAGGACAAACTTGATATTCTTGATCCCCACACGACCTTGCTCAAGTACTGAACATGATGTGACCATTGTTTTGTACTGTGGAGTAGCTCCATGACCTTATTTAAAAAATAATCTACTACTCTTTACTATATACTATTCCTTACTGTAAACAGTTTCTGTACGAAACACAAGTTTCCTCTGTCATTATCACATAAACAAAACCAACGAACGCAAAATTAAATACATAAATAGAAAATAAAATGTTCTTCAGTGTAGTTGCCACAGTTATTAGAAGTAGATCGTTGTGAAAGTTGCTCTTTCTTTGACAACGAAATCGATTGGTTCCACCTCCAATTACAACAAGAATGTGTGCATCAACACTTTGAGGATCGTTCAGGTCATGAGTATGAATCTGCTCATATGTCATCATATATTGGTAAAATTATTATTCCGAGATAAAGCACGTAGAAAGCAAGGTGAAGAAATGCAATAATGTTCACCTTGTGTGCAAAAACAATCCGATCACAGTACATAATATAACTCAATTGATCCATTCAATCTATCCTAATCTGAATTCATCCATATTTTTCAAATAAGCAACTTCCACAAAAATAGATTTGAATTGAATGTGATCCGAAAATTATAAAGAATGAATCGTGACAGTCATGGCATCATTATACAAATAAAAACGTGAAGCACAATAAATCAGTCACACGTGAGACGTTCAGATAGAAAAAATCTAACCACATAGGACAAATCAATCAAAAAATCGTGAGATCATAGCATTTCATATATGTTCATGCAAAATACTCGTGCAATGTTAGGATGAACCAAAGTTTGAATTGTGGAACTGAGCGGAAGGAAGGACCGAATTGTCGTTCTCGACAGTTCATCTTTCGAGAATTACTGAAGCTATCTGTCGGGAACGACAATAAGCGCGATGACATTTCTCTACCTTAGTGAACTATCGAATGATGAACTATCGAAAAATCTACTTTTCACCTCTAAGCAAATAGGTATTATTGAAAATTATTTCACTCCATATTCAAGCATAACAAAACATTAAAACCACAAGTATGCTATCAATTATCTAACAAGAGTTCAATCCAAATACGAGTACCACCACAACAAATGGATTTCAAGTGATAGCAATATTATTTCCACATCACACAAGCACCAAAAACATTGAAACAAAAGATATTTCAAGTGTCAATCCAGATTTTCACCCAACATGGAAATATAAAAAATGCTTGAAATCTGAACTTTGAAAGCAAAGGAAGAAGATAAATATTAAAGTGGAACCCTAGATAAAAATTTTCCTCAACATTAGTGTTAACACGTGCAACGTTTGTATATATGCATCACTAATAGAAGATGTCTACAAAAGAGAAAATTAAAATTTATGGTATGAAATTGCCGAAAGTAGGGAAAAACATTTTCAACTATAACATAGCTAGAAATTATTCAAAACGTTCAAAAAAATTATAGAATATTAAAAGGATTTTTACCTCTTTCTAATTCAAACTCCAGCTCTTATTTTAAACCCAGCAAAAAGCTTCATTTTTTCGCATCTCATAAAACCTTTGCAGCTAAAAATATTATAAAAATTGAGTTAAAAAAAAAGTTTTTTCTCTTTTGGATCAAAGCCCGTAGTGAGAGAAATGAGAGAGAGTGTGAGAGAGTTAGGATTGTTTAATGAGAGAAATAAGATTCATCTAATTTTTTTTTTCCAGCTTTTCATCCCTGACATTGACAATATTTTTGTACAATTTCTTCCATTAGGCCAAATCTCATTTAATTAGGACATACAGGGAATTTGAAATTATCTTCAAGTGCAAATATGTCTTAAACTGGCATTCTTGCAATGTATTTAAAAAAAAAAGTGATATTTTTGTAAATGTCTTGGAAAAAATTGACATTCACTGCAATTTCCTCTTTATTATTAATTGATTTCGTTTAAGTTTTTCGATGATTACATTTTACTTCTCTTCGACTCTCTGTTTTATTATCTTTACTTTAATATTAACAAAAGTAAGTAAGCGAAAATATTGAAATATAATGGAACCCATTGAAAATGATTTGTTCATTACATATTAATGTCATATTGATTGAATATCCATCTATATTTTTTAATGCCCTTTAAATTGTATTATGTGAAATATATTGAATACCTGTCTATTTAAATGCCATTTATTTTTAATTATTAGAGAACTTTGCCAATAAATTTATATATAGGGAAATGAATAGATATTTATTATTATTATTATTATTATTATTTTTTATTTGGGGGGGGGGGGGGGGGGGGGGGA